GAGCAAATGAAGGACTATTAACGGCTATCAACCAAAGTTTTATTGGTGGGATTTGGGTTGCCCCAAAGTTTTCGCCTCCTTTTTCTCCTATTATAGCACAGCGCCTACAAATGGAATGCGATGTGAAACCCAATCGCCCCGAATGAAGGTCGAGAAAGTAACCCTTGCGCCTTAAGAACATAACCAAAATAATTTCTAAGAGGGAGGAAAACGCCGTTTATCGGGCAAATTTTATGCCACTCCTCTGACAATCGTCTACCGAAATGTCAGGCTTTAGAGAGGATGTTATGGATGAAAAACTGAGAGCCTTTTGCTCACAACAGATTGAAAAGTGCAGTTTTAAGTTTATGGAGAATAATTTTATGTGATTTTATCCACCTTCGCCCTCTGTTGTCCAGCAGTGTCTGAATCAAAGGAGATATGGAATTTTTTTGCATATGGGAAAGGATTGGAAGAGCAGGGACAAGATTGCAGGATAAAAAAGTTGCATAATATGTATAAAGTTTTCATGGTTATTGGTCACTGAAGACCAACCAAAACCCTTCCAAGACATCAGACAACGAGCACAAAGGTTGCTACAGTTGTTTAGTGTTTGCTGAAATAAAATGACATTCGTAGGAAAGATACAAGAGAGGCGTGTCAGGGTGATTAGCTTAGACTGTGGTGAGATCAGACAAGAGGGAAACCTAATGCTTCAGGTCATTAATCTCATTAGCTAGGGGGCTCATCTATTCCCTTCTCCCTTAGTTAAAACAGCTTTCCTATTGAGGTGCTAATCTCCGCAAGGCTAATAACCCTGGTATGAGCTAGGGTCACGCCTTGTAGGTTTATTAAGGTAATTCAGGGAACCCCTCTAAAATCTGCCCTTATGTGTCCACCTATGAACGAGACTGGCTTGGCTTTATCGAGTCACGAGGCCAAACCGGGCATGGACACCCAAGGACTTATCGTGAACACATATGTGGTGAGTTAATTGTAGCACAATGAGTAAGCTTACAGTCACGATGGTGATGGCAAAGTACATGAGCATGTAGACACAAGCCAGAGTAGATCCATCTCCCATGGTCCACACCGTTTCCCTGGCCTCGTCAGTACCCGCAAGAATTACAATGAGGAGAAGAAAAGTAATCAAACATTCCAACCACAACGCCTGAAAGACGGTAATTCCGTTGCGTGGAACAGTCATGCCCATGTCAGGGGCGCAGTTCAGGAATGGTGAGACGTAATAGGCGATGGACATCGAGAATCCAGCGCCCAAAAACTGTGCGATCCAGTACAGCGGCACGAAGTAGAGGCAGATACGACGAGTCAATCCGAAGGCAAGGGTGATAATAGGGTTTATCTGAGCCCCTGAAATAGGGTAGATTAACCAGACAGCAGCGTAGACGAGTCCTCCCACCGCCAGTGCCTCCGAGACCGCACAATAGCGCAAGGTAGGATCAATGAGAAAGTAAGGAAAGGTGATCATTGCTGACGCCACAAGCTCTCCGAAGAAGAGTTGCAAAACAATGAGCCAATTTCGTCCACGGCAGGAGAGTGTCTCCGTTTGAAGAGTGAAGTTTGGTAGATAGTCACCAAGATTGTTGTTCGTATCAGGTCTATGGATTAATGGAGAAGAATTAATTGAACTAAAACACAAATGACAGAGCACAACCAAAAAGGAGATTTATAAAAGTGATATCAAAACCTTTTTTACTATAAGCTAATGGGGGGCTTTTAAAAAGTACATTTTAGAGCCTTTTTCTGTGTATTGAAGGTGCTCTCCTCCCTTTCTCTCAGAACGGAAATAACTAACCACGCCCATCGTTTTCATCCTTTTAGCAAATGGTGTTCTCTAACATTAAAATAGATTATCTACATCCTAAGAGTCCTCGTAATTTAGCTTAATCTCAATAAATCTAGTGAGCAACTCATTGTGGAGGAAAACAGCTTCCACTTAGACGGTGGCAAGCGCACTGCCACCGGGACATCGCGGACTTCAGTGCTCATCAAGGACCAGGCACGTTTCCTTTGATATTTTCTGTCGAACACCTTCTTCTTTAATGCACGTGTGACTTTTTGTCCACAATCAAAGAAAAGCACAGGGCTTGCGTCAATGCGTCCTCACACCTCTTAGACGCAAAAAATTGTCCCAAGGGTTCATTTTGAGACACGAGTTTCTGTAAGCGTGCAGGTGGTGCTACTCACGTGGCGACAGACGAGTTTGACCTACCTCTAAGGCAACTTGTGTTAAACATTTGTAAGCTGCGCCGATGAGATGGAGCTCAGTCCCAACTCGGAAATTTTATGCAAGGAATTTTACCTACACACTGTCGTCCACACGACCACACAAAAGAGCAGAGTAAAATATGATTGTAGAAGTGCAGCCTTGAGAATGTTTTGGAACTACACAACTTATACTTTGTTTTTCTTGAATATGGCAATGCAAAACCTGTCCCTAACCTCATCCAGCACACAACTCATTCTACACAGTGTACTTTTTTATGCCTCAGTCGTTGCATAAATCATGTTTTGTGGGACCTAGTTGCTTATCCCCTACCACAGCACTCCCTTTCGGTTGATGCAGGCACTTGAGGAGTGCAGCGTTGTTTCCGCAAAACATGGGTAAAATGTTGGGGCGTCGCTCACAGCTTTATCTTCCTACTTCCCACAACCACTGATGAGCAAGTGACACAGTAACTCCTGCCATCTTTTGCCCTAGCAACATTGACCACAGCCATTGACAGTCTCAGACAAACCACTTCAAATATTTACCCTTAATAGCCTTACTTCACCCTAACAAACAACTTTTATGTGCAGTCAAAGGACTTTTTTGAACGTATTTTTTGCCTTTCCACTTTCATTCCGGTTTTGGTTATCCTGCCGAATGAACAGGGCACGGCAACTGATAAAAGGCATTTGTAGATTGCCTCTGTTTTCGCATTCCTCCTCGGAAGCATTTGCCCACCACCAACGGGTGAGCGAAAGGCAGGCGAATCAAAAATTCGCAGTTTCTCAATGCAAACTAATTACTTTAATGAGGAAGAGTTGGATTGGAGAAAGGATATTGTTGCAAAAAGGCACAGCCTACGACAAAATCTTTAAATAAGAAGAATTTTGAGGCTTCTATGAATCAACACTAACACTGAATGCCCTTATGAGTCACGATTTTGAAGGTCAAATGGAAAGTCGAGAGGAAAAGGGGAAGATAGCATAGACCTACATGCGCTTCATGGTTCAGACGTCCGGCCGCTTGACGTTGAAGGAAAAAGTGGCACCAAAGGCATTTATCGATTGGTTCACCACTGTTATGCAATTCGACGGTGCCTGTGGAGGCAACGACACGCCTTGCAGGGATTATTTTGCCTCTCGAAAGAACCGTGAAATACTAGCAGGACAGATAAAAGAACTTCATTGATAGTTTATATTACAGAGGAAACGTTTCACACGTTTCTAGGGCCAAATCTATTCCTTTGAAAATGTAGCGGAGAGCATTTACACTACGACTTCGGAGGGATTTACAATATGGCGCTCGTAGTACGGCGCACTCTCAACTGTAGAAGATCATTCAACGGCAACTTTGCGTGTTCACTTTCGGCTACCCAACCCTTTTCAATTGTTATACAGGGTGGGCAAAATTTAAATCTTCCACTTAGCGTGTTTAAATACTTGAATCACTGTAAATCCACAAAAGTAACACAATGCAGAAATCAGTTTTACTAAGAAAAAACGAGTACAACTTTCTGTGCTTTTGGTTATGGAGTGGCAGTAGACGCAGATTTCCAAACCGGCTGGTTGGTTGCAGAAAAAGCAATTTTTTTTCCCGTCTCCTGCAAACACAACTTGATGCCGCTGAGATAGGAGCAAAAGCCTTACAGTGTGGAATTAATGGAGGAAGAGTGTCCAACACTGAGTCTCTCTCTGGCTTTCAAGAGCCGAACCCCAATATTCCCCTTATGCTTCCCACCGCTTACGCAGTTGGAAATGGTTGACAGTCGTACCACTTAAAGCCAAAATGACCGTTCACCACAAATGCTACTAGAAGCAAAAAAGGTTTGCTTTGCAAACTTAGTCACGACTTTATTTACTGCCTCAGCGATTCTGTGCAAGGAGGGAAGAAGTGACTAAAGCCCTCCCCCCTCCCCCAATCATTATCGCATTGGAAAAGCATGAAGTGAACCTCAAACAGAACTATTGAGGGAGCTCATAAAGAGTTTGAGTCCACCGACCTCAGTCTACATCATTCATAATTCAAATGATCAAAATGAATGGATTTTGTGGCTTCTTAATGAATGTAAAAGACAAAAAAGATGTAGTTTAAGTCGGGATGTACAGTGATCCGTCCGAGGCCTTGAATTAGAAGCTCTTGAAGCTCTTCAAGAGCTTCGTTACGGCTATTTGGATGCCCTAAATGACAGCATCTTTGATAGCCATGCATTTTTTAATGTTCTGCTTTTTGTCAAAGGTGCAAACTGTCAAGTTTTACTTTCTTTGATTTTTAAGCGTCGAACAGTTTATGCTGCTCCATCTCAGCTCCTGAGCGCCTGGAGGTGGTGAATCATTAGCTCATTAAAACGAGTCTTGGTGATAATTTAAAGGCTTCCTTGCTTCCTTTCAAATTACTAGCATTCAAAAATGCGTCGCTTAGGCTTTTTTCCTCAGGTTGAGCGATCAAGTTCTTCTACCACTCTTTCCAAATCTGCATATTAAGAAAACTCCGAGAAAATTATGCAAAATACGTCAACAGTTTGCTGCGAGAAGTCGCAATGACGCCTTCTTAAATCTGTCCAGCAAATCGGAGCGAAGCACTTACTTTGGGAAATGCAAAAACAGTTGAGCCAAGTTTCGGAAAATTTTCTGCTGTTTCTTGATACAACTAAACGCTGTTTGCATACAAATGAGCAGAACGTGAAGCAGTTAATGAATCGCTTCTTCAGTTCGCAACAAGACAAAAAAACAGCCTTCGGTAGCCATTAACACTGCATATAAAGGAACAGACCGAAGCAGTGTTTGGTCAGCAATACCCATGCATATGGTGAATGTCACCACCGGCGGAGGGAGGTATTGTCATCTGCCAATGAGCCGAGGTGTCAAGAGCCGAAATAGGAGCACTGCTTAAAGATTATTGACATACATGTCAAAAATTGACTCATGTATTTATAATTGTCACTTAACCTTTAACCTTCACTAGTTTCCAGTTCCCCTATTCTTGGATATTCTTAGCATAGTTTCGATAAATCTTATTTCCGGTTAAGTTAAACCGGTTAGCGAATGCACATTAGGATATGAAAGTTTTGCCTAGGCCCTAGCACATTGATCTCGTACAAAGTAGCCGTTTTATGCATATGGTCTCCAGTTATGGCAAAAACAGATTGGTCTTCAAGGTTAGTCTGTGCACAAATGGTTTCAATTGTTACAATTTTGCAATCATGCAGCCCTCAACCTTTCTTTTGACTTAAACGTTTTGTTCAAAATCACAAGCACGTGAAGTATCCAATACACCGAATCTGTGCTTTGTAAGACTATAAAGTAATTATCCAATTGTAGAAGATTTATTTTATAAATATGGCAAAAAAGGAAAGGCTCAACCCCCTAACAGACAATTGGTCAAGCACTTCACCAATCGTAAAGCTGTGATTTCTGTTACGTTAGGACAGGAAGCGGATGAGATAAATTACCAAAGCCAAAACCTCATGATCACTCTTATTACTTTTGTTCCAGGTACATTGGGTCCCAGTCATAATCAATACAGCCCGGTGAGTCCCTTCGCTCGTTAATATTCCCACCCCCTTTTATTCACATAGAAACTTCCCCAGCCTGTAGTCAGATGCACTCATCTTTTCCTCATTTTCCCGTCAACTTGAGAAAGATGAGTGCACGTAAAGCCTAATTTATCCGTAAACGATAGTTCCACCAGTTGCATTCAGCTGTAGCTTACAATCGCACGCCGGAGACCAAATTGATTGTGGCTTATTCATCGAGCGAAATCCACTCACAAATTACGAAGTAAGCTAATGCCACATTTCTTCCGCCACTTTAAAATGACGAAACCACCATCAGCATACAATTCACCTTTTGTATCCCCTACCGTTTCTTGTTTGCCTAAATTTTGCATAAATTCTTCGAAATGTAAGGCGCTTGTCAAGGCTTTCTGATCTTTCCCATAAAGTAGCTACTTTGGGATGGCTATGGTTAACTTGTTAACTCGCATTAAGATTGGTTGGGCGAGCCATCTTGCCTCTGTGCAACGTTCACGAAGAGAGTTCTAGAGTCACCAAGCCAATTTCGTAATCAGCGCAACAGAACAGTGAGACACGCTCGCGGAAGGTCGTTTAGTTAATTCAGTGAAATTAAAGAAATTGTTTGTGAACGCAGCCTTTTTAGTGATATAGCTTTTATAGTTGAATTATATTATTTCACTGCTTCAATTGTTTAATTGTTCTTCTTTTACGAATTTTCGTATAAATTGTAAAGGTTAATTTATGCAATCACGTTAACAAAATTCAAATGACTTTTTTCGCCTAAAGGCTAAACGAAATTTGTCTGCCAAATTTATTAATTTTTAATACCGTAATTAAGTGTGGTATAGGGAAATCGTTGATTTACAATTGCATCATCGGCGCAATGCGACGGATGTGAGTGCTCCTCTTTGTGGCCCACATGCACCAGCATTCTCATCATGCGAAGTCAAGGAAAGATGCTGACAATGCATGCACATTCGTAACGTTTTTAGGTTAAGCAAGATTGGAAAGAACTATTCGAACTGGTTTTTTTATCTACAATAAGAAACTACAAATATCCTTTCATTTCGCTTTTACAAAGAGTGGACTCCTTAAAATGATTTTCACAAATCTAAAAAAGGCGTCAGAAAGCATGTGCCTCATATTCATATCATCATTATGATGTAATGGTAAAGTGAACCTCATCAGATTTACAGCAGATTTGAAATTTAGTCTTGCAACTCAAACTCTCTTTGGATTTGAAAAATAGTGTAGATGTTTCATTTTAGCTACATAATACCGGAAAGTGACTGGATTCGTGCCCTTATACAGGCTAAACATTTACTCCCAAACTGATCTCCAGCGCTATGTGAATTTAAATTAATTGCACCTTTTGCATCAGGCATTTTCAGACAACAGCCTCAATTTTTTCACCTTAGAGTCTGAGGATTTCTCACCGCATCATGACACAGTTGGCAGCAACTTGCACCCCGGTGGCTTGCATTTTTAGCTTGATTAATTTGTAGTGCATAAAGTATAGAGATCTCGACTGGCAGGAAAGTACTTACGGTAGAGAAATCGACGACTTGTCAGGCCCAAAGACACCTCCCCTTCGTGGATGAGGTTTAGGCCCACAAGTACTGTCGAACCCATTCTAATATATACAGCACCATTCCGCATGCCGTAACGGCGAACACTGTGATTGGAAGCCTAGCCTATTGGTTACTTCACGACTTAATATAAAAGACGGGCAGTCAAGTGATTTTATCAGTCTCTACTTGATTCCGAAAAAACGAGCACAAGTAAGTGTACAACATTTTTAAGCAATAATTTAATTTGTCAGGCATCAGTTAACCTTAAGCACTTTCTGTCAGAACTTAATTGAAATATATGAACTCATAGCCTAAAAAGAGGCGTTGAAGATGGTTTCAGATCTTATCATTTATACGCATAGCCAAATTGAAGTAATTTTTGGAATCGACACCATTGTTGACACATTCTGCATAATATTTCATACAGCAGATTATCAGTTGGGCTAGAGATCAACTAAAGTTGGCATTTTTTTTATAAAAACATCTGCCGTTTATCGCTTTGCCATACAGATCCCGAGCAGTTTGTAAAACTACTGAAAGGGTGAAAACTTAACTGAATCACGATGGGTATTTAACTTGCCCACACTTGCATAAGTTTTGAATCGCAAACAACTGGTGGTACATCTCGGTCTCTCTACGGCCTTCTTTAATGCTCACACGGTTCAAGCAAATCATCTTCTTAGGCCGCAACAGGAATGGAGATTTAGAGTAAAGTTATCTTAATTTCCACCAGGTTCAAGTTCTTCAACCAGCCGCAATGACTAAGGGTCAGACACTTGGCATCTTCTGGAGCCTTTTTCGAATCTTTGTTTGCGAGGCTGTTGCTGCTGGCATTCCCAGTTTGCCCTGTTTCCTCCTGCCCACGCCTACCTACCTGCCGGATATTGTTGTGCCTCTTGTCTTTGGTCTTTCGGTGTGCGTTTCTTTGTGGATCACAGGATCCACTAGCGGCGGTCATATTAACCCGATGGTGACCTTGGCAACTGTAATAACGCGTCGCATCCCACTGCTCTACGTTCCCGCCTATATTGTGGGTCAGTTTGCAGGTGCTTTGGTCTCTATGGGCATTGCGTGGTGGGTAAGCCCATTCCGCCGCCAAGAACCTAACACATTTGGTATGACGTTGCCTGGTGCCAACGTTTCTATCGGCGCTGCAATTGTCATCGAGATGATTACCACACTTAACCTCATCCTTGTTGTGCTTGCGTCGTTAGATGAGGTGAGGGATAAATCGTGGCGGCTGGAGACGGGCAACAACTTTCCACTAACCTTACTAGTCGTCACAACATCTAATATGGCTCTTACGGTAAGTCGCATTTTTGTTAACATCGGAGTCAAGTCAACTTTACAGTCTCAAACTGACATTCAAAAAGCAGTATTATAAGCTTACTGAGGCCAGATTTAGTGGTATCAGCAGATACCATTTTAGCGATGTTAGAATTCGAAAAAAATGTTCAATGCCAACGGCGTCTCCCAGCATTTTAGCCTTTTACTCTGCTTAATCAGCAATTTATGATTCCCTTTCAAATACACCCATTAGACATGTTCCGAATGCAGTTCCTTCGCTCAGAAGGCCTGGACAGCACCTTAGCAAACTAACAAAACCTACAAAGTTTTGGGTTAACTTTTCTGTCTGGTGGTTCGGACAGCTTTCAAGCATCAGATCTGGTCGAGTCGACCCTTTGCAGTGTGTTTGGAAGGAGCAGAGAATGGTCATTTACAAATCTCAACGACCAAGAAGTTTGAAATGGAAAACAACTCTCTACCACATTGCATGCGACTGCCAACATTTCCCAAGTAGACTAAAAAACTTCACACAAAACGGGTGGCTAAATTGTACAAATAAGCTCCCTATGTTTATTTTAGCAAACCTTGTGATTGGCAGCAATTTTAAACGAACTTGCGAGTTGTATAAAGCTATTATAGAAGTGCTTTTGTAGTCATGCAAACAAGTCTTAAACAGGTGAACCTTTTTTTATTATTTAAGTTAATGACGTTAGACGAAATGTTTGTTTGTGCAGTGGTCTAAAGTAGTGCTAAAGATGGCAAACCTCTTAACGCTGATTGTGACGAGCGGGAGAAGCGGTGGGAACGAATTCAACCTAAACGCAATTCACGCCTGCAACTTGGATGAGTATTCCACCACCGTGAATATTCCACGAGAAATCAACAAATTTGGGCAGTCGTCTGCGCCCGAAGTTGTCCCCCATTTGCAATAAAGCGGCACCAAAAATGCATCCACATTGTGGTCACTGTCGTGAGAAGTGCTGTAAAGCCTTGAGACTCCTCTGAAGTCAGAACAAAGAATAATGCTAGAATATGAATGGTATACACTCTAAAACTTGGTAGGACTTGACGCTGGGGGACATCATTTTGCGGCCAGGCTTTCCATCGAAGTGGGTCCAACAGCCCACGCATTATAGCGCTGCCAAAAGCAGTCCACAATTTCTCCAAATAATCACTCCCGTTATCGTTGCTGCATGAAGCTCTACTGTGAGCTGATGTGTTAAAAATATGTTCTGATTTCTCACTGAATTTTTCAGATCTCGATATCCGGAGCCAGTATGAATCCATTTCGGAGCATCGTAGCTGCTATATATCAGCGGAATTTCGACCGACAATGGGTGAGAGTTGATTGATTGACCTAAAAATTCAACTTCTCACCTAGCATAATTAATTCTGTCAAAGACTCGCTATTTCCCGACTTTCAATTGGGCAAATTCATGAGGATTTTCAAATTTAAGTCTGGAACTGAGTAAGGTTTTGAACATTCTCCCAGTAAATCGCTTGTAAAGAGTGCAAGATACACTCGGCTTGCCTGTAGGCTTGGGGTCATTCTTTCGTTAAACAGAGGTCAGTAATAAGTGACAATTTGCCTCCGGCAATAACGGAAGAAACTGGGGGAATTAAGGATGAGGAGGATGTAGCATCATTTGCCTCCTCGCAGGCAGCAAAGCTATCATCCATCTCCTGCCTCAGGCAACTTGGCATCGCATGCTAATGTGCTGACCTATGATGTCGATCATCTTTTGATTAAGTTAGAAGGGTTTGCATTGCACGGATGATCCTGCCTAAGACTGGCGTGTTCTTAGCAGCATTTCCATACCCTCCTGAACTTTGGCTCTAGACGATGGTCTACACTTCGTAATTTCGCAAAATCGTCATGTGTAATTTGCGAAAAAACTGGATGCTGATCGAACTGCAAAACTCTTGCCGCCTGGTAGAAGCCTTGGGTGTCTCCGTACACTGCTGTAGGATGGGTGAAAGTGTTCTACGTTAGTTAGAGCATGGCAACTATTTGCCTCGAAAGGCCTTAGGAAACGGAATTCACGGTGCAAACACATAGATGGGATGCGAGGCTTTTAGCACAAGTTGAATGTGTAAGACCTACTTTGACCATCCTGATAGCCTACTTGTAGATAAAATGCGAAATCTTTAAGGAAGTATCACTCTACTTTCCCTTTAATGGCATCTTCCAACTTTCGTGGCTACTCTTACGCATTGATTAATGCGCGACAAAAATGTTGCTAATGCAATATTTCACTAAGGGAAACTATTTATTTAAAATCTCCAAACGTTTGGAATTTTAATAATACCTAGGTGACAGCAACATCGGTATGTATGATAGAAGCAAGACGTGAAACAAAATAACCGAACATGTTATTTGCCATTTCCGTCAGCAAATTTTTAAATCTTCCCAGATATACTTCATTGGACCACCAGCAGGTTGTCTTTTGGGCTGCTTTCTCTATGAGTTAATTATCTGCCCCTTCGCCTCGATTCGTCGGACTCGCATGTGGCTGACCTCGAGGGACTTTGATCGGCACTGCAAGTATGATACGGAAGGAACTAATGAGCCGGAGAACAGCGCAGCATCGCTTTAAGTTTTGTTCCCCTCTTCCCACTCCCATCTCCCTCACCTCCCACATTGAATTGATCCATTGCATTGAGCTTCTATTGCACATGAGTTTCGGATCATTTCTTTCCATTTCAAGGTTTGATGGAAGTAAGAAAATGTGCTTAAAATTAACCTTACATAAAACTTCAAATATTGACCAGCGCTAAACATGAGCCTTAGTGGCACGTCTGCACCTGCTTCATTGAATCGCCACGGAGACTAAAATACCTACAAATTTTCCCTCAACAACTTTGTTTGTGATAGTTATGACGAAGTAGTTAATCCAAGCATCTAGCACTTACTATGATAGTCTACACAACATTCTCACCTGTTTTGGATCTGATAACATGAAGAGTAATTTTTTGTGAATATGACAATAAAGAAGGGTCATAACGGAGATCTGAAGCCACAGGTGATAATCCTATTCACCAACACGTTGTTTGATGACCGTTAGCATGGAGGGAGGATACGCAAAGTTCACCTCTCATGATACACATCATGCTCCAATCTCCTGTGTGCAATTCATGATCAATGGCCCTCGTTGAAATTGTGCGACCTTAATGTCAACCATGGAGGACCATTCGTCGTCTCCTTCAATGGTTGCGCAATAAATTTAAACGATTTGTTAGGTCAATGACACAGGTTAATAACAGCCTTTGAACGTACAAACAAAAGTTTCATACACTTGGTTTCGCAATACTTTATAAATTAAAATCATACTTAAATAAGTCCGATTTATTGCTGCGTGACAGAGGGTGTGGTCAAAAGAAAACGCGGTTATATGTCAGAGTCCTAAGCCATTTCATAAGGCATGCCGAGACAACTCAGTGTGTGGAAGGAATTAAGTTTTTCATTTTGAATAGGGACACTCATTGAATAATTATAAAAAGAGAGCAAACACTGTCATTTGTAGCCTATTCTTTGCTAACATTGGGCGTTGTAGCGCATTATAGACGAAGCAAATTACACGAGGTGGCGCCGACTGTAATAGAAAAAACATTATTTACCGTAAGCTAATACCTAATTTTAGGGTACAATTATCATTTGCATAGTATTAAAAGTGTGTGCGCAGTTGTTAACCAAGAATAAAACGGCCCAGATTTTCCATTACACAGAAGAAGGCAATAATAGGGTTGAATACGTGAATCAAGAGGAATCGGAGAGTGGTTGGATTTAGGCTTACCCCGAAGGCCACCCCACGCACGCAAGAGCAAGACAAATATCAAAGTGACTATAAGTCATAGAGTTAATCAAATGAATTAGGTAGTGCAAAGAGACTTACAAAATATCACTGCAGCTGCGCAGACAATTTCTAGTAAGGCAGTGGCCTAGCCCTTCATCCGGAACACCCAAGAGAGTACATGTGAACGCTTCCATGACGAAAGAGTAGAGGCAAATCACAAGGACTTATAAGTGGCAGGTTTTAGAGTGCTTCACAAAATTAGTTTACGCGAAAATCCCATCTCAAACACTTAATTTTATTATTCTTATCTCTTTAAATTTAAAACCCTTAACATAGATATTTGGATACTTGAGAAATGGAAATCTACAACAGGTAAACAAAATTTTCAGTCTTCCAATTATTTGCTGACTTTCTAGCACTTTTTTAAGGTTTTAATGGCGTGTTATAGTGGTGGTCCGGTGGCAAGTGCCAATGTTTGTAATTAACTCTGATAGGGTAAGGAAGACAGCAGACCTGGGGGTGGAGTATATTTTCAGGTGCCAATCGCCTCTGCACTGGATGGAAATGGGCCGTCGCATGGAGGCATGTACAAACACGTTGAAATTGCTTACAAATAATGTCTTCTTGAGACATAGCAATAAGGAAAACCAAGTTTGAAAGATGTAATGAAGACACTTGAAAAATTTATTAGCCGTACTAGTACTAAATAGGCCACAACACTTACTTGCGCAGTAGTGTCAAAGCCAATTGTTTTGCGCTCAAAAACTGATTAAAAGTAGTGTGAGAACGGTTAAGAGCTACGTGGATCTTATTTCGCACAACCTTTTCCCGTTTTCACAGTCCAACCTTTGGGAAGCTATTCTCGAATGGATTAAGCCTTCACACACGAGTCTTGCAACATTCGAAAATGTCAGCATTACTCTGAGAAACCAGCAAAATCGAGGCTACACATATATTATTCCACGGCAACATTAGGAATGCTCGTTCATGGTGGGGAACAGAAGCACCGATTCAAAATTGGAATGTTGTGCCTCAGGCTCCACCTTTCGCGATTGCTACTGGTGCATAAACAGGGCACAAGCGTTTTCTCCTCATTTCTAAGCTTAGGCGAAAGGAGTACTCTGCATTCGACTGACTGTTCTCTTTCGACCCCAATCTGTCCTAAAGTTGGCCGCTTGGAAATGGAGTGGATGTTAAACGATAGCCCTTCCGGTGCCTCATTCGAAGTCATCAATCTTTAAATGTTAACTATAAAACCCAGGATTGTAGAAATGAAAAGAAACCTTGTGAACTTGCATTCCTAGTCGGATACTTGACATATCTTCAGGAATCAGACAATTGGCTTGAATGCGGGGAGAGCTTATAGACTTGAACGGCTCGCATTGTAGACGAAGAAAAAGGATTACCGCCTCAATACATATCTGTTACCACATTTAACCAACTCCCACATGCTAATTTTAAGCCCAATTTGCATAGCTGTCAAATTTATGACTCTTCTTTCACTGAGAACAGTTGTAAACTAGTCGCGATGGTTTCCCCTAAAGTTGTCACAGCGAGTTTGATGGCCTTTCCTCCACGGTTTCACCAGTTACAACCGTCCACTGTGTCCACACGATCCGCGATAATTCCTTCCCTTTTAGCTTTAGTTAATAAAGTTTTTTTAGCTTGATACGGTTGCCACGAAAATATTTACCGAAGCTAATGCATGATAAGACACTCAGCCAGGTGCACGAAACCAGTATTTAAAGGCTTCACCGGTGTCGATTTGTCTTGTGGGCATTTCCAAGGTCCTTAAAATTTACGCAAAATTTTGGTGTTGCGATAGCTGTCCTACAAAGTGATTTCAATAGGGAAAAAAGGATATGTGTCAATTTGGCGATAGTCGAATGGATTGATGACCAAAAGAGTAGAACTTTTTCATTGTTAAGCAATATCGTACCTGCAAAATCCAGTTCGCAATCCTTGAAGATTATATGACCTAAATAGTGCTTAAACTGCATTAGCAGTGCAACACCTCATGATTTTGAATGCTATATCCATCCTTCGACACTAAGCATCGTGGACAAGGACTGGGCATTTTGAAATGTTGAATTGGTTGAATGGATTGTGGGACAACAGTTGCAACACTAAGGTGCTGACTGCTCGAAGTCCAGCACTTCCAGCGATGAGGATGTTTGACTTTATCTAGGCGGCTTGATTTGCTAAAAAATGGCAGTCCAGAAACTTAACTAGCGATTTTTAAACAGAAAACGCATCCACAATTTGTCACTGTTTGGCTAAACTTTTGGGTCGAAGGCATCATCCGATCAGGTCGTGACAAGGCAGACCACGTTTCTGTGCCTGCAATGCATAATTTTGGGGGTAAAATTCTCACGTCGCGCGGGGAACGAAACAGCTCCAGCACTACACGAACCTCCTCCTGTTCGCGAGCTTTTCCAGTCTTATGGCTGGATTGAACAGATCGGATCATGCAAATGAGTCTCATTGTAATGTATTGGCTTTAGGTTGGTGCCAACAGGGCTTGAAGCATTCACACCTCGGCGAAGGGAACTCAGCGCTGGATTGACAAAATTTTGGCCATACCGACATGTTGTGCGTACTTTGAGAATTTTTATTATGTACTGTCCATGCGCCGGCAAGGCCATATAGGCAACCAGCAATTTCTTATTTATCAACCGCCACCACCACTACCAACGCTGCTTCCCACAGAAATTGTGGACTATCTCTTGTTCGGCACCCATACTTGGGATAATTAGTTATGATGCCTTTAACAGTTATGAGTTGGCCCACTGTGTTTGGCAAGAGGACCCCAAGCCAGAATAAGGCCAGAGACATTAGCTGAAGCGTTTTATTCTATTCAACTAACTGGAACTGCACGCACCACCGATCTCGTCGAATCCCACACCGAGTGTCACCTTCCATTCAACAAAGCCTTTTCAAATTTTTCACTTCTTGCCTAGCTCTTCTTCGGAACTAAAAGATGGCAAAAGAGAATGGAGGAGGTGGAGAATGAGTAAAGATGGATGTTAAGTCCTCAGTCTGTACTGAAAAGAAAATAGCATTTTTGGCGGCAATCAAGCACTAGAGATGAAGACAGGCACGTTTTCTAGGCATTCACATCAACAAGGTTAGTTATGAGGCTCTTTCTTCCCAAAGGCCGGGTCAACTCAACTTCTCCACCTCTCTTGTCGGCCTTGGAAATTGTTTCAGCAGCTTAAAACCTTCAACAATTCTACCAATTTCAAACAATAAGAGTCCAAATCACTTCGGATAATGCGACGAAAGGAGAGAGAAAAGAAATTCCTTTTCGGTGTTCGATGTGGAATAAGATGAGTGCTGGAGAGATTTTTGCTTACAGGGAAGATGAACAAGTCTAACTGCCTGAAATGCTTAACAATTTTTTGCCTCAGGGAAATAGCTTAACAGGTAGGACAGGTGAGTAACTTGGCGATCTGAATGGCGTCACTGCGGTGAGCGAATTCGCAAATCTTCTGCTTAATCAGAATTTCTCAGCGCACCAATGCATGCTAGTATGTCTCTTAAATCACCAAATAAGAATGTTTACAGGCAGTCAGCAAGAGTGATGGCGGATTAACCCTGACAGGTCCACATGATCACACTTGACGAAACTGCTCTGGAATGTATGGCACCTTCGTCATTCCTTGAAACACTGAGAGCGATAAGGGAAAACGCAAATAAGTAGTCCTTTTTCATGCCCCCTTTAGGTCTTATGGGCTCCATCCCTCTTTGGGAAGAGCGAACAGAGATGTAGCCGCGAGGACCTGGGGCTTAAGCATTTCTCG